TAGGTAAAGTGCTTGCTGCGAAACAAGCTTAATCCTCAGAACCCATGTCCAACAGGGAGGTATGTGATGTTCACTTGTGATCCCAGTGCTTGGAGGAGAACACCGGCAGAACCGTGGGTTTCCCTGGCCTGCCAGTCTAGCTCACTTGACAAGCTCCAGGTTACAGTGACAGACCCATCTTGAAAATAAGGTGTAGGTTAATGGAGAGAGACATCTGACATCCACCCCTAGCCTCCTTCCATGCACTCACAGGCGTGCGTACCACACGTACATGTGAACCACATACACTGTATTAGTTTTCTGTTGCTGTGATAGAAACACTGACCAAAGCAACTCGTAGAAGGAAGAGTTTACTTGAGCTTATGGTTCCAAAAGGGCAAGAGTCCATCGTGGTGGTGAGGCACAGCGGCAGAGGTGGCTGGAGGAGAAGCGGAAGGTAAGCTCGTACATCTTCTAGCAGGCACAGGAAGCAAGAGAGTGATTCTCGAGATCTCACAAGGCCTAAGAACTCTCTAAACCCACCCCAGTGACCTGCTTCTTCCAGCATAGCTACACCTTCTAAAACCTCCCAAAACAGCACCAGCAACTGTGGACAAAATGTTCAAATACTTGGAACCTTTGGAGGACATTCTCATTCAAACCATCCTCTCTCTCTCTCTCTCTCTCTCTCTCTCTCTCTCTCTCTCTCTCACACACACACACACACACACACACAAACAAAATCAAAGTGGACAACTCCTGAGGAATGACACCTCAGTTTGTTCACTTGTCTCCACACATATGTGCACACGTGCGTGTGAACCTTTACACAAAAAGAAGAGAGAGAGAGAGAGAGAGAGAGAGAGAGAGAGAGAGAGAGAACACAGCACCCTCGTGTAGGGAAAGGAAGGGGGAGAGAGAGAGAGAGAGAGAAATTAAAAATCCAGCTGCTGCACATGTGGTGGCACACGCCTTTAATCCCAGCACTGGAGAGAGAGGCAGAGGAGGTGGATCTCTGTGAGATCCAGGTCAGTGTGGTCTACACAGCAAGGTCCAGGCTAGCTGGAGCTACAGGGAGATCCTGTCTCAAATAACAGCAACAAACAAAGAAGCCCAGCACCATTGTGTGCAGGGGCTGGTCTTGTGAGAAAAATAAAATAATTCATGTCACTATTAGACTTGTGTATATACTGATTTTTATCCAATATCTGTGGACCATGACATCCATTTTTTAGCCAGGAATTTAACTCTCTTTCATTTCTTCTTCTCTCTCCCTCCCTGTCTACTCTAAAGTCTACTTTAACAGAAGAAAGAAGGAGCTAACGAGAGGGCCTAACTTTCCCTTGGTCCCTCAGCCCTCCTGATGTCAAAGCAAGTTTGCTCTGATGCTAACTACACCTTTGAGACTGAGAATACACATTACTGTAGAGTTACCCCACTCGGTCAAGAACAAGCCTGATATTTACCTCTTCCCCACTGGATGATTCTTTCAGGACAAAATCATTTTCCTAGGCTCCTCTGCTGTTGGTAGCTGAAAGAATAGAAAAATAAACATTTTACAGTTTTTATAGTTCCACATACTTTCAGAGAGAAATGAGCACTTTGATCCAATGACAAAATAGCTCTTTCTAAAGCTAAACCTATCATTTCCCCCAAGGAGAGAGAGATAACATTATAATACACCATGTTATCAAAAATACTTTGGCTTCTAAATAGATATATGAGCTCTAGAATGTGTCTAAGTTCCCACCAAGTTGCAGCTTCAGGATATGGGTCCCTGGGGTGTAGGCTAACCCTTCCATGTGGTGTGGACAAGCATATGTGTGCTGGGCATATAGTATTACTAGTTCAGGACTAAGCATGAGTAGTCCATAGTAAGAATTAAATGGCCTACAACCATGAGGGAGAACAAGTTGTGCCCATGAAACTCAGAATCCAGGAACCCTCCATATCATCAGTCCATAACGGGACCCACTGAACAGGACCAGCCTGGCCCCAGTCTTTGGCACAGAACGGGGTAACCATGGTAGCCTCCCTTGTCCACCTTTTTCTGCCCCCTTCAGATTTAGCCAGTGTTCACCAGCCTGTCAAACAGGAGGTTCAGCAGGTTTGACCCTACTCATGCCGGGAACTGAGTCCTGGGAACGCTGAGAACGACTTGATACACACTGCAAACCACCCAGACCACCAAGCTCAGAGCCTCAACAAAGGCCATCTTTTTGAACTGCAGCCCAATTAGTGAGTCTTCACCTGCTAAGATGCCTCAGCCTGTTGGTAAAGTTAACGTGGGTATCTGATGGACTTAACAGGAATTAAAACATGTGTCTTTGACTTTGTTCTCCTGTGAGTTTATCAACTTGTGCTGGATTACAATAAAAAGTTTCAGCCAGTGAGAAAAAAACATTTTGCCAATAAGGTGAATCTAAAATTAGAGTTTCAAACGAGAATCGTGAGATTTTAGAGACGTATAGAATGGTTATAGCAATCTCAGTGATGGTGAAAAATTATTAAAATGGTGGTAATTCGGGTTTACTAGAAAGATGGGCTACCTGCCACCTGCCTTCTGAAGGGGGACTCTTTTAGAAGTCTTTAATGTTCATACAGCGGGGGAGGGAAGAGGGCTCTGGGTCAAATACACCACCTGAAACTGTGAAGCTCCGCTGTGAATCACTGGCATCTTAGATACGTGGTGATCTGGCTTACGTGAGACCAGTTCTCATTCAGGAGCGTCCGCGGTGAAAGACTTGGGTCTAGAAGCTCACTGGTAGCATCTGCCACCCTACGACACTCAGAAAGGCCTGGAGGTAAAGGGCAGGTCTTGGCAACATGAATGCCACAGCCCACACGCAGGAGATAAACAACAGAGCAGTGCACACATCACTCAGGATTCCACGGTCTCTGCAGAGCTCTGGCCACTGCACTTCCGAGGACAGAGGGGTCTCACTGGGAGGAAAGATGTTTCTTCCGGAAGAGCCAAGGTGACAACGGTGGGCATTGTTACAGGCAGCCAGGGTGATGGAATTGAGACAGAATGGGGACCACCAGCGCCATGCCTGCAGCAGCTACATAAAAGTAAGCTTCCAGGAAGATATGCTTGTTTGGCTGGGTGTCCAGGCAAGTTGTCCTGGGTGGGGGAAGAGTGTGTGTCCTGGTGGTGGGGAACGGGGAGCGGGAGTGTTACAGTCAGAGCAATAGCAGGTGCAACCTCAGGACAGCCAAGTGTGTGGCTAGATTTGAGGGACCATTCATGGACTGGCAGGGAGAGCCAGAAGGTGGTAGGTCTGGGACTGTCTACAAAGTAGGATGCTAAGATGTGGCAAAACTGTACCTTTGCTCCTACAGTTTAAGAAAGCTGGGCCCCGTGGTTCCTGATGGGCACTCCTAAGGCAGAGTGCGTACTCTGTCACTTGCCACCAGTCTCCAGGGTAATCAGCTCCACAGCTGGAGAAGAACACAGTTGCCTTACATAGTGTCATTTCTGATACACGCCTCCTAATGCTTGGTAATGCTACTGAATTAAACTCACTGGCTCTCCGAGTGCCCAGGTAATACCAGCAGCGACATTTGGGCTTGAGGAGCCATTAGGCTGACTGGAATAAGCAGTTCTCCAGCAGAGGCCCCCTGACATATGCTCACTAAGGAATGAAGCTAAGTTCTGGAACAAAAGGAACTTGCCTTCTAATTGAGTTAATATTCTATCAAAGTCTGTGAGAGGGCAGAAAGACAAAGGACAAAGAATCTACACTCAGTTGCCATTTTGTCTCATTCAGAAGGGTTCATGTACAAGTGAATTGTTTTATCCCCTTATGTAAATGCCTTTTCAGAACTATAAGTGAAAGTATGTATGTCTCATAAATCATGAATCATTCTGTACATAATCCAAATTCTTACATAATTGCTGGAGATTGTCTTTTCCTCACATTATCCAAGATCAATAAGCAGGAAGAAAACACCCCACGGTAAAACCTAAAGCCAATTTGCCTGCCTTTGGCTTGCAGATCCTCCTCCAATTAGGCAGCAAGAACCCAAATCTAAACCAGGTCACTGACTTTCATATGCTAGAAGGTGGTCGTTTTCTTCCACAGCAGTGCCAGTATGCCAAGCTTGCCGACACATGTTTGTCAAGAGCCTACGCATTCTAGGACCAAATCCTAGTTCTGATGATGTGTAAGGATAGAAAAATAAAGAAAATACTCCCAGGAGGAAATGATCAGCTAAACACAAATCATGAGGTGCTTACATGGGTAAGAAAACAAAAAGAAATAAAAATAATAAAATGAACTAGAATAATAGCTGAGAAGTGGTCTTTATTAAAAACCAAGAACCATTGGTATGAGCAGAAAAGCAGTATGTTTTCACATGTTTGAAACACTAGGTGATAGATATACAGATACATAGATACATGACAGAGAGAAAGACAGTAGACAGGAAGATGACAAGTAGTTGATAGAGAGAGGACAATAATCAATGATAAACAGATAGATAACAGATTATAGATGATAAACAGGCAGATGACAGATGATAGATGATAGACACTTAGGTGCTATTAATGAATTAATGTTGCTTTTTATATAGAACAGTCTTAACTGCCACTGTAATAAACTTGTTCTAAGATAAGGATGCTAGCGTTTCCAGGGCTAAGGTTTCAATGCTTCAGGCTTAACAATGGAGGATGTGGCTGGACATCCATACAGGTGCACCTCACTCTCTAAAATGAATAGAATCACATCTGGCTCAGACTTGCTCTCTGCCTCTGAAACTGCCAGGATTTGCTCTATAGTGTCACAGCTTAGGAAAAAGGCACCAGGATCACAAATATAGATTATTCTTAGAGTTTAGGGGGGGTCCCGAAGACCAAGAATAAAGAGAGCCATAGCAACATGTCTCAGTGGCTGTGAGACCCAGAATGGCACAGAGAATCAGGAAATACTAGTCAGTGGTAAATCAGTAATAAAAATATTTCTCTCTCTCTCTCTTTCTCTCTCTCTCTCTCTCTCTCTCTCTCTCATTTCTCTCTCTCTCTCTCTCTCTCTCTCTCTCTCTCTCTCTCTCTCTCTCTCTCCCCTCCCCCCCGTCTCTCTGAATATTGTTCATCAGAAGACCTCTGGATTGGCAAAGTCATTGGAAAATGGGGGATGGAATTGAGGAAACTCATCTGTACAGTCAGAGGGATCTAGTAACTCGGCCTGAGGACGGTCTTTGGCGCAAGCTGCTTCAGTTGTTCTTGGAGGCTGGAAGGCCGTTCTCAGTCTGGCTGTGAACCTAGTGACCACCCTGCTATCAAGGCCATTCTCAGTCTGGCTGTGAACCTAGTGACCACCCTGCTATCAAGGCCGTTCTCGGTCTGGCTGTGAACCTAGTGACCACCCTGCTATCAAGGCCGTTCTCGGTCTGGCTGTGAACCTAGTGACCACCCTGCTATCAAGGCCGTTCTCGGTCTGGATGCGAACCTAGCGACTCATCTCGCACTCAGCACAGAATGGTACCATCTGCTTTAGTTCCATCTTCTTTGCATCTCCTCAAGGAGGAACACTGAGCCTGTCCTTAAACTGCAGAGGAGCCATTGGAGGGGGAAAGCAGTGATCATAATTGAACTCAGATGAACAAGTATAATCCAGCGTTGTCAAGTCAGAATCCATGCACACATTTCATCTGTGTTTAAGGTACACTCACGTTCTCTCCAGACAAGGCACAGCTCCAAGGCTTCACCTACCTTCCCTGAAAGATGTCTGGTCATTGTCCAGTGCAGTCTCCTTTGGAGTATACATGGGGTTCTCAAACTGCAAAGGGTAAGCACAATGAAATAAGAACCATATTAAGTAAGCATAGATACACATATAAACACAAAGGAACAAGTGGAATTCCTCTCATTCAACAATATCCATCTATGTCTCACTCAGCTATCTGCACATAAGTTTGTCATATGTGTCATTTATCTACTATCAATCTACATACCTATCACCTGTTATCTATCATTTAGCTAGCTAGCTATCCATCCATCTACCCATCCATCCATCATCTATTTATGTATCTTCAAACTATCTATCAAACTACCTGCCTATTGTCTATCTATCTGTATATCATTTATCAATATATTATCATCTATCTTTCTATCTTCTATCTATCTATCTATCATCTATCTATCATCATCATCAATCTAGGTATCTATTGATCTGTCAATATATGTTTCAATTTTCACATATCTACCCATCTATCATCTACCTATCATCTAAATATCTATCATCTATCATCTATTTCTCTATCACTGACTATGTATCATCTATATATTAGGTATTTGTCAATCTACCTACTGTCTGCCTATCCTTCTATCATCTACATATCTGTCTTTCATATATCTTCCTAACTGCTTAACATCTATCAATCTCTCATATACACACATGTATTTCAATCTATCGTTATAAATCTGTCACCATGGTCTGTCTGTCCATCTCCTTATCATCTACATTTTCTGGATTAAGCTCACTAATGACCTGTTGTGATTCTATGATTCTGTATGCTGTAGTTAAAGGACAGGCTGGAAGTTATTGTCCAGCAACCGCACATTCCACTTGCCTTACCAGGGCGGGTGCCTTTTCATCCATTTTCTGTAAATTTGAGATGCAGGAAGGAGAGGAAAGATGATTAAACATTACCAAAAATCTGAGAGAAGTGCCTGTTGAGGACAAACCAAAACGAGACAGTATTCACAAGGGAAGGAGACCAGAAGTGTAAAAAGCAGAGAAATACTGAAAGTGACACAAAATCCAAACTCAGTGATGATAAAAATATGGTTATAAGAAGGTACCAATCTGAGAAAATAAACACTTAATGCAATATTAAAATAAGCAATTAAATATGAGACATACAGTTAAATGAAAAAAAAAGAAATCTACCAGAAGTAACTCAGAAAACAATGAAATAGAACACCGGAAAAAGAGGTAATGAGCATAACAAACTAAGTTTTGATACATAAGACATTTAAACAATGCAGCCAAAGATTGAAAGGGAAATTATTGAAAAGTTAATGAAGAATGTTAGCTAGGTTATTATAAAAAAGACCCAATCCAAAGCTCAGTAAGTGAATAAAACACTCACTGCTGTCATACATCATAAAATGAAAAACTTTGAACTTGAAAATATTTCAGTTTCAGTAAAAACACACTTTATAAAATAGCAAATTAGAGTGAGTCATGAGTCAGACAACTTGAAGTAACAGAGTATATTAGATTTGAGATTTATTATCATTCCAAGTCTCAAATAGTTTAGCTGTAGAATTCTGTGTAATTAAAATCATTTAGCGTAAAACATAAATTCCTAGAAACATACTGTCTGAAAAGAATAACTGCAGAGGTCAAGAGTGAATAGGAAGATTGAATCAATAATCAGAGAAGAAGGAAAGAACAGCTTTGTACCTGATTCATTCTGCCAAACATCAAGTGACAATTAGTGCCATTCTTCCTCACTCTTAAAAACTGAAGAGGTCAAACTCCCAATCTCATCTGATAAAGCAAGGCCCGTTCCAACACCAAAGTCAAGCAGGCACACTATATGTTCTGGTTTGTTTCTCCATTGCTGTGACAAAACAGTCTGACCAATACCAACTTGGGGAACAAAGGGTTTATTTGACTTACACCTCCTGGGTCACAGGTCATCCCTGAGGGAGCCCAAGGTAAAAACTCATGGCAGGAACCTGGAGGCAGGAGCTGGAGCACAGGCCATGGAAGAATGCTGCTGACTGGCTTGCTCCCCTGGCCTCTGCTCAGCCTGCTTTCTAGTACAATACAGAAAAACCTGCCAATGGGTGGACCACCACAGTGGGCTGGGTCCTCCCACATCAATCAAAAATAAAGAAAATACCCCACAGGGATGGCCACAGGCCAGTCCAATGGAGGAAATTCTCCAAATGAGGCTCCCTCTACCCAGGTGTGTCAAGTTAACAACTAAAGTTATCAGCACACTACAAGAAAGAAAAACTACAGAACCAAATCTTTTGTGAACACTGACACAAATATCCTCAACAAAACATCAACAAACTTAATGCAATAGTGGGGTGAAAGGATCATATGCCATTAGAAATTGGTATTTATCCTTAGCACGCAGGGATGGCTTAACATATAAGCCTATCAGTTAATGTGGTACAGCACACTCAAAGAATACAGGATACAAATCACATGGAAAAATTATGAACCAACATCAATGCAGAAAAGGCACCTTCCCAGATTCAACATCTTTCATTATGAAAATCTCTCAACCAATTATGTATGGAAGAAATGCTCCTGAACATGTTAAAATCAAATATGATAAGGCTGCAGATAATATATTCCACAATGAAAAGCTGATGGTTTTTCCTCTAAATTAGGAATCAGACAAGGGGGGGCCACACTCACCTCTTCTACTCACTGTAATGTTTAAAGTCCTAGCCAAGGCAATTGCAGTGGTAAAAGAAATAAATAGAATTGTCAAACTTAGAATGGAAGAATCAAAATTGTCTGTTTGAATATGATATTCTCTTATTCATAGAAAACCCTAAATCCTACCCCAAAATCTGTGGAACTGAATAAAATAATTTTATAATATTAGTGATTACAAGTTGATCTGCAAAATCCATGAGAATTTCTATATGTCAATGAAGTGTTCAAAGTAAAAGTAAGGGTAATAACCTCACTTTGATCAGTATCAATAAAAGTACTCTCTTAAGTCACTTTTCTATTGCTGTGATAGAACGGTGACCAGGGAACTTAAATAAAAGGAAGGGTTTATTTAGTTTACAGTTCCAAAGGGGCAGGCATCCATCATGGTGAGGAGTCATGGCCACAGAGGTAGCTGGAATCAGAACTAAGCCTCATATCTTCAAGCAGGCACAGGAAGCAGAGCTTGACCAGAGATCCGGCAAGGATTAAGTCTCTCTAAGCCTGGCCCTAGTGACGTGCTTCCTCCAGCATGGCCACACCTTCTAAGACCTCCCAAGACAGCACCACCAACTGGGGACAAACTGTCCAGATACTTGGAGCCTATGGTGGACATTCTCATTCAAATGACCACATTCCACTCCCAGCCACCATAGACTCATGATCATATGAAATGTGAAATGTGTTTAGTCCAATCTTAAGCCCCCATAGTCTTTACCAGTCTCAAAACTATTCAAAAGTGCATATTTAAAGTCTCTTCTGAGACTCAGGGCTGTCTCTTAACTGTAAGACCCTGTAAAATCAAAAGACAAATTACATAGTCCCAACATAGTGGACCTAAATACACATTCCCATTTCAAAAGGGAGGAACAGAGGCAGAGTGAAGAAATACCAGGTCAAAACAAGACCAAAAACCAGTAGGGCACACACCAAATTCATCAGCTCCATGTCTGACTTCAGGAACATCACTTCCAAAGGGCTTAGATGACTCATCTCTTCTAGCTTTGCTGCATGCAACATACATCTCTCTCGGGCTGGTACCACTCCCTGTATGCAGCCCTCCTTGGAAGATGTCTCACAGCTCTGGCATTGGGAACATCTTCTTGGGGTCTCCACTGCCAACCAGGCTTCACATTCACAGATTCACACAATGGCCTATCATCATGGCCTTCTTTATGCAGAAGACCCCCTGCTGCACCCCGCCTGGCCTCAGCAGCTCTCTGAAACCACAAAGGAAGAACTGATGACCCCTTCATTCTAGCATCTTTCATGTCTCTAAAGCCAGCACCAGGTGAGGGACACTGCCAAGTTTGACTGCAAGTTTGGGATGGCCTGCTTCATCCACATTCGAAGCTTTTCTCTGCTGTGGTTTTCTCTGAGTAGAAAACCCCAGAATTTTCCTTTCACAAGTTGGAGGCTTAGCTGGGTGTGTTCTTGCCCTGGAGGCACTCTTTCCATTGTTTAAGTGCAAATCTCTAGGCCTCCCCTTAATCACTTCAGTGTCCTTATCAAAGGGATCCTCTCCTTCAGCACCTGCCTTGGCTCCAACATTATTAATCTTCCTAGTGCTCTTTTTCAATCCAAACCATACGTTCTGTGTTTCTTTCCACCCCATTTGCTCTTTTTCACTGTAGGTTTGCATACTATTCACCATTAATAGCCACACCACCATTTCTATGTTAGGCTATATTGAAATCCCCTCTACCAGAGAAATTAATCCATTGCTTTTCAACTTAGCCTCAGGCAAGTTCTTAGGCTGTGGGCAGACTCTGGGCAGAGTCTTTGCTAAAATATCCCAGTTACTGCTTTAGTCCTTATTTCCCTCTGGAACTACTTTGCTCTAGGCACTGCTTTCTTCCAGGGTCTTACTAGAATGGCCCATTAAGCTTTGCTCACAGCATTCAACTGCTTTTCTAGTCTGTACTTCCAAAGTTTTCCATATTCCTCCCAAAATCCACATGGTCAGGTGTGTCACAGGAACACCCCACTTCTGGCACTAATTTCCATCTTAGTTACTTTTCTGTTGCTGTGATAGAACACAGTGACCAGGGGAAGTTATAAAAGGAAGAGTATTTTAGCTTATGGTTCTAAAGGGGCAAGAGTCCATCATGGCGGGGAGGCATGGTGGCAGAGGTGGCTGGAGTAGGAGCAGAAGCTAAATATTCACATCACAAAGCAGGACAGGAAGCAGCAGGCAACTGATGATCCAGCAAGAATTAAGAACTCTCTAATCCCACCTCCAGTGACAAGCTTCCTCCAGCAGCCACACCTTCTAAGACCTCCCAAGCGAGAGCCATCAACTGGGGACAAAATATCTAAATACGTGGAGTCTAGGGATGACATTCTCATTCAAACCTCTATGAGTACAGATTGACCTCTTCACATCTTCCATTGCATGACCATCAGGTCGTGTATTTCTGTAAAATAATCCATTTCATTCTAGACAATAAAATAACCAAAAATAATTAGGAATGGGTACAGTGCATTGACTGAGCAGATAAAGGTCCTTGCTGCCAGTCCTGACAACCTAAGTTTAACTCTCCAGACCCACAGGTGGAAGGAAAGAACTGATCCTAGCAGGTTGGCCTCTGACCTGCACACATATGTCATGTCACACAAGCCCCCAACACTATAATAAAATGTAATAACTTATAACATGTAAAAATTAGGAATAAACTTAATCAAGAGGGAACATTTTTTATATACTGGAAACTACAAAATGTTACCCAAAGCCATCTGTAGATTAAATACAATTTCTATGAAAATGGAAAAGAATTTTCATGGTATTTGAAAGCTTCATGTGAAACCCAAAAAACTAAGAATGACCAAAGCAAACTTGAATAAACAAAAACAACAGTGACATCAAATGTGAGGCAAATGTTATAGGACTGAGCTACATATCTGGCTCTTAAAATGGATATTTCATTTAAAAATTCAGAATGATATGATATGGGCATAACAGACAGGAGAGGAAACCAAGAGGGAAGTGCAGAGAGCCAAGAGATAAGTCTACACACTCATAGTCAGCTGGTGCTCCACACTGTTGGTATAATTACTTAGTGCATGTTCTTCAAAACTAAAATAGGGCTGGAGAGATGTTCAGTGGTTAGTAGCACCTGTTGCTCTTGAAGAGGAGCTGGGTTCAAGTCCCAGCATGTACATGTCGATTAACAACTGTCCATAACGCCAGTTTCAGGGGATCCAATGCCCCCTTCTGGCCTCCTCCAGCATTGCATGTGCATATTTACATACATGCATCAAAGCACTCATACACATAAAAGAAAAATAAAAAAATAAAATGGAACCATCCTCTGCTCCAGTAACCCCACTATATAAGGAAATGGAATCAGCATGTTCATTGCTGTATTCCTCAGAGGAGCCAACATATGAAAGCATCCTGTGTGTCATCTGAGGATGTGTAGGCAGAGAAAAGGAGAGCACACACCCCAGGAAATAGGTCTGAAACCCTTGTCACTCCATTAATGAACCTGAAGGACATACGTTACGTGAAATAGCAGAAAGACAGGCTCTGCATGGCCTCACAAGTTCTGTATTTGGAACTTAACATAGTTGAACTTGGGGATGTGAAGGAAACCAGGATGGTATCTAGCAGGAGAAGGGATTGGGGAATGGGGGGATGTGGGTGCCAAGGAGCCATGTTCCTGTGCCAGAGAACTGTTGAATTCTGGAAGCTAATTTTAACGTAGTGACTGTAATTGGTGTAACAGCTATTTGATCATTGTGCAGAGGACAGATCTGAAACGTTTCCACCATGAAAATACACATCTGAGATGAGGGAAGCTCAGCATGGAGGAATATAGCACAAGTCATGTTGGACCAGGAGGATGCAGCTCTTACTGTCAATTATATCTCACAAACCCCAGGAAACATGACTGTTATTTACATAGGTTCTGTATATTAATAATATTTAGGAAATAAAAACATTTCAGACTATCTTGTTATGTATTTACAATGTCATTAAAAAGCCCAAGGCAAGTATCTTTTATTCCATCTACCTATCATCACTATCTATCATGTATCTACGTATCTTTGTATCTGTGTATCTATGCATCTATCCATCTATCTATCTATCTATCTGTCTATCTATCTATCTATCTGTCTATCTATCTATCATCTATCTAGCCACCCATTCATCTATCATCTATCTATCAGCAGTCATTTACCTATCATCCATTTATCATCTATCATCTATCCATCTATCCATCCATCCATCTATCCATCCACCCATCCATCCATCTATTATCTATCCATCTATCTATCCACCCATCCATCTATTATCTATCATCAATCTATCTATCCATTTATCTATGTATTTATATACCTAGTGATTTTCCATCCATCACCTATCCATCTATCTATCCATTCATCCATCTATCATCTATCATCTACCTATCTATCATATATTTATCATCTATCTATCCATCTGTCATCTATCATCTATCCATCTATCATCTATCTATCGATCATCTATCTATATCTATCACCACAGTCTATCTATCTATCTGTCTGTCTGTCTATCTATCTATCATCTATCTGTCTATCTATCTATCTATCTATCTATCATCTATCTATCTGTCTATCATCTATCTATCTACCTATCTATCATCTATCTATCCATCTATCTGTCTGTCTGTCTGTCTGTCTGTCTATCTATCATCTATCTGTCTATCTATCATCTATCTGTCTATCTATCTATCTATCTTCCACCATCTATCATCTATCTATCCATCTATCATGTTTATCTCTATGTATCTATCTATGTATCTATGTATCTATCTATCTATCTATCTATCTATCTATCTATCTATCTATCATCTATCATCATCATCTATCATCTATCTATCTATCTATCTATCTATCTATCTATCATCTATCTGTCTGTCTGTCTATCTATCTATCTGTCATCTATCTGTCTGTCTATCTATCTATCATCTATCTGCCTGTCTATCTATCTATCTATCTATCTATCTATCTATCTATCTATCTATCTATCATCTATTTATCTACTTTGCCATGCTAGTAGTCAAAGTCAAGTCCTTACAAATGTGAGGCAAATGTCCTAGCACTGAGGTACATATCTGGCCCTTAAAATGGATATTTCTCTTTAAAAATATTTTTCAAAAGAAAGAATACCAAAAGAGAAGCATTTGCTCACCTTTCCCCAAATGTCTTTGATTCTGGATTCCTGTAACACAGCTGGATCTTCTGATTCTGCATTTAGTCTATTGTGGTATGTGGGTGTGGTTGGAAAACATGAGGAAAAGCTGACTCACAGCAGAGAGAGGTGTGGTAACACCTTTCCATAATTGTGAACTTTTGTGATGCTCAAACTAGACAAGCAATAGTTCCTTGCCATGTGGAATCTGAAAAAAATAAATCAATTTTTCATGCTCTGTGACATTAAAACCCACCGATCTATTTTGTCCTCTGAATGACGAAAGTTTTTACCCCATGTATGAAATTGTAACATCCAGCTGTGGTCATTTAAAAAATACTGGTTCACTGAGTTTTACAGATACTCCAAATCTTGACACATTTTATTTTAAAATATCAAAAATTTCCTTTATTAATAACATCACCCAACTCATCAGCAAAGCCTTGCGTATTGAGAAGCTGTCAGGCTCAGGCTTGGAGACTTGAATTTTATCCTCGCCAACAAATGCTGACAGCTGTTTTACTTGAAGTGTCAAGCTCACTTGATTTGTTTTCCAGAAAATGTCTACCAAATGTCTACCAAAGTCTGAATAATTATAGTTTTTCTGTCAGATGTTATTTCAATTAAATATGGTTTTCAGTATGGAACATAGCTAGTCCAACTTACAGCAAGAAAGATCCACCATGCTCAGCATGCAGCAGAAATGGTTCATGGGTGTGAAACAATGTTTCATGGGCATGTGCCAGAACTGCTTCATGGGAATACAGCAGACGTGCCTCATGGGTATGTGGAAGACATGCCTCATGGGACTGTGGCAGAGATGCGTTATGGTAACACAGCAGACATGCTTTACCGGGGTGTCCCATTTCGTCACAGACAGTGCTGAAAAGCCGGGGCCTCCCAGAGTACCTAGCTCAGCACCATGTGGTCAAGGGAATCCTGAAATCACAGGCCCGGGCTTGGTTGGCAAGAACCAAATCTCCCTTAAGTCCAACACTGTTTTGCGTTCTGCTACGCGCTCCTGCTGACGGTGTTAGGTAGCTACACAGGGACTGAGAGCACTGGAGGCCCTTAGGGAAAGACCCCTTCCTCGCAGACGGCTTTGGACTCCACCTCCCTTTTCCATGGTAACATTAGAAAGGGAAATAGCAGAGCTTCATCCTTACTCTGGAGATTTAAAAGGCCACAGAAAAAGGTGAGGTTTCAGGGCATTGTTGAATTTCATTAATTTCGTTAAGCTACTTCCTCTTGGTCGAAAGAGTAAGGACACATCTCTGGTCCTGGGTGAGTTCTGTTTATTCAATTAAGTTCTGATTTGCTCCAAAGATTAGAACATTGTATACTGCTGTTTTCCCCCTTAAGAATTAACCCAGCTGGGCCTTTTGATTACCTGGCTAGGCAACCACTCCTCAGGAAAGCTGATTCACCAGAGGCCATGTTAGGGAGAGATCCCTTAATGAGATGTCCTCAGCCTTCCCAGAGCCCCTCTGTCTGGCCCTGCAGCCCTGCTTGCCAGGCTGTTTTTCTTAGTCCCACCATCTCCTCACTCTGCTCTCTACCAGTTTTTCTCTCAGATCCCAGCCTAATCCTAAGCGCTTTCCCTGACCCCAGCTCCTCTACAGTTACCTCCTTCCACCACAGTGGCTTCCTGACCTCCTGGGCTAACCTGCCTGCTTCCCTGGACCACCCAAAAGGCAGGACTTTCTGTTCCATTCCCTCCTCCTGGCAGCTGTCGGAGATTTACAGCTTGGTTTTCTTTGACCCTCTAATAACATGGTCCTCAAGGCTTCTCTGAGAACATTTTTAAATTCGTTTATCAACAAACCCACAAGGGAACCCCAATTCTCCTGATAATAATAGCATATAGATTTTAAATAAAACTCTTAAGAAATGTTTAGTGTAGCCACTGATTTGCACTTACATGTGTTGATATATATTTCATTTTAAGGATTTGCGAGTTCTTTCTCTTTTAATATTTTATTATTGTGGTTTATCCTTTTATGCACTCAATTTGAAGTGTTCTGAGAGTTAGTTTAGCTCCCTTAAACTCTAAGTAAAGTCTAATATTTATGATGGTTTATTCATAACATAATTCAGTAGTACTGGCCATTTTAGAGATTTTACCAGTTCACTGGATTAATTAAATATTAATTTAATAAATAACATAACTCACTAGATTAGCAAACAGAAGAGTAAGATTTATAAATCAAATTTAAGTCCTTTAGTAAACTAAGGTTATGCTATTTTCCTATTAATATAATTTTCATCACTGAAAAATTCAAAAATCTCTAAGGAGTCCTTTGTGGCCTCCTTTGGACATACAATCAGGCACAAATTCGCACCTCTCAATTTATAATCGCAAACATTCTATATAATAGAACATCATGGTATCTTTGAATAATCAAAGATTTTTAAATCAAAATCTTCAAAAATGTATCACAAATATCTGTTGAAGTCCTAAGCAACAACGCTTAGGAGTGGGAATACATAAATGAAATACACCTCCCTAGGTGTTAGGAGCCAGCAGCGTGTTTAAAGAATGTGGCACTTTAGGAGCTAAACAGCATAATTCCCAAAAGAACAGAAGCCCTAAAGTACACACACCGGAGCTCATCCGCAGAGAAGATGGATTACAGACAGAAACACGCTGTGTTGTGTAGGAAAAACGCACTCTCTGTCGCATGCATTTAGCAAACATCACTCTTCACCTCTTTCAGTCGCACACAAATGAAAGACCAAGTTAAAGACCCGTAGAGTCAGGGTCGGGTCCCCAGGTAACTGTCCGTGTGCATTCTTCCACTGGAGCCTGGTCAACCTACTAAGGGTCTCACCCTTCCGTGGGGCCGAATCTCCCCTTCCCAGCAGCAATCAGTTGCCAGGAGTTCCTTAGTGAGGACTGGGGTTTCTTACCCACTTCCCCAAGTCTATGCTGGGATTTTGTCTGGCCTGAGGTTGCATGAATCTTGTGTTACCACTGCTGTGAGTTCGTATGAGTGACTGCCCAGCTGTGTGTATCATTCTGTTTCCCTGTGGCCATACACCTCCTCTGGCTCTTACAATCTTTCCACCCCATCTTCTCCAATGATTGCTGAGCCCTGGAAGACAAAAGTTTGGGAGTTTAGAAAAATGGGGTGCAGATACAGGAGGGGATCTAAATATGATCAAAATACATTGTATGAAATTTATAAAAGGTTTTTAAAAGGACAAAAGTTAAAATACTGGATGATAGAGTTAACAAAGCTCCAAACTTTGACAAGTTCAGCCAAAATGCACCGGAAGGCTAGAAAATACAAACTGTGATCAACTGTAGAAATGACACAGAAACCAGGAGACACTCAAACCTTCTCACACCCACAAACCTGGAGACAGGTGAGAGAGAATCCTGTAGCATTATTGCTCATGAAATTAAGGCAAAAATCTCTCCAGATTCAGAAAGGTTGAAAAGGCACGAGGCCATAAGGAGGCGTCACTGGTGGGAGTGGAGGGACACACCAGTGTTCTCTCTACCCTCGTTCTGCTATGTTCTGTGAGCCTTATGTGTAAGGGTTCACCTGTAGATGTGTCACCTAGGATTGGGCATCTTTTAGACATATATTCTCTGTGTCTGAGCAGTTGTGGAATTCTGCAGTAGCCTCCATCTGTTGCAAAAAGAAGCTTCTATAATGAGTGGTGTATGGTGTGCTTGTCTGTAAATATAAGGATCCATATTTAGCATATGGTAAGATAGTTCATTTTTTTCAAGAGAAATGACAGAGATCGGGTTTTCTCTAAGATCTATGTCCGCCTCAGCCATGTGTAATTGGCTGTGTTTACAGTATCACCCATGAGTTTCCTCCCATCTAGAGGGCTTTAAATCCAATTAGATAGCTATTGATCATGCCCCAGATAACAATGCCACTACTGCACTAGGAGAGATAGTTTACTGTGCTGGTCGTTATGGTTATTAGGCTGTAGGACTGGGTTGGACCATTGATTGATTTTCTCCCTTCACAGTTTGCATATCAACCATCTAGTTTGCATATCATCATCTAGCATTATGAGGGCTAAACTTCAGGTTGAAGGCTTCCAAGTCAGTTCCTGCTCCACTCCTCCAAGTCCCGTATCCGAAGTATGTCCTGTCTTCAGCAGTAGGGTCTTATCTTCTAGTTCTGGGAAATAATGAAGAGCTCTGGGAGTAGCTCGTGTTATTTTGGGAGTCTCTTGGTCCACTCTCACCAACCACTTAAAGGAAGATCTCTCCACAGAAAGCCAAGTTTTAGAGATAAGAGCCTGCAGACTGTGTGCCCCTGGATAGGACTCCTACATTAAACCTCACCCACCCATGGCTCAGGGATCACTGTGGAAGAGGGGGCAGAAATATTGAAAGAACCAGGGTCGGTGCATGAACGCAGGGAAACAGAGGCTTTCAGGGCACTGGGATCTCGCACATGTGAACTTGTGGCAACAGGGGCATCACGTCCAAGACCCAGGCTAACTCAATCAGACCAGGGCCCAGAGTGGAGTCAGGGAAATGGGTGGTGGGGAGGCCCTAGCCTGGGAACTGTTGGAGACTGATTGCTACTGGGTGAGGGAGCGTGTGCCTTATGATCTCTAGACAGATCTCCGACTAGATGATCTCTAGATCTCTGACTAGATGATCTCTAGATAGATCTCTGACTAGATGATCTCTAGATCTCTGACTAGATGATCTCTAGATCTCTGACTAGACTCCAGTGGATGAACTTGCACTGAAGGGCATCTGGGTACAAACGCTTGACTAGATGGGACTTAACATGTATGGTGAAATACATGAGGTCCGGTGGGGTGTTGGGGGACATGGATGGGGGAGGGGTTTAAATTTGGTTAAGAACTGCTATGTGAAATGTACAAAAGCTCAATAATTTAAAAAAATAAATAAAAGACATGAGA